ATGAATTGTCAGATACATTTGCAACTATTGACAAGACAACCGAGAATAAATCACTTGTTGGATTGTGTGTTAAATCTGAAAAGGATGTTTATAATCATTACAACAGTCATGCTTTTGAAAATGGATTTGGTATTCGAAGATGCAAACAGAGGTTTAGGAGTGGCAATGTAAGTTTGATTATGAAGTCTTACTGTTGTTGGAAAGAAGGGAAGAAACTACAAAAGGGCACTGAAAACAAAATGTATACGAAATTAGATTATCGTTCAGGTTGTAAAGTAAAGCTGCAGTTTTCTATTAGTGTTGATGGTGAATGGACTGTTTCAAAGCATATTACTGACCACAACCATTCTTTTTGTCCAATTGGTCAAAGACACCTTCTCAAATCACATCGAGGTGTTGATCATGAGTATCTTGAATTTATTATGTTGATGAAGGAGAGCGGGACAAAGGTTTCTGATATTCACCGTATGCTTCAAAAACAGGCAGGTGGGGTTAGTGCTCTTGGATTCACCAAATGTGATGCTTATAACGTTCTAGAATCTGAAAAGAGTAAAACGTTTGATGATAGTGATTCTAACACTTTGATTTCTATATTGAAGAAAAGGGCTGAAGTGGAATCTGATTTTACTTTGATTTTGAAGTAAATGAAGGTGTACTAAGTTGTTTTTTCTGGAGAGATGGCCAAATGAGATCAGATTATGAGAGATTTGGTGATTTAGTCGTGCATGATACAACTTACAGGACTAACAAATATGACATGATTTGTGGTCCGTTTGTTGGTATGAATCATCACTATAAGAATATTATGTTTGGTTGTGGCTTTATGTTGAATGATAAGGTGGAGTCCTTTGTTTGGTTATTCCAGACTTTTTTGAAATCTATGGGGAGTAAACACCCTATCACGTTTATGACAGACCAATCATTTTCAATAGCAGCAGCTATAAAATCAGTTTTCCCTGAGTCAAGACATCGACTATGCACTTGGCATATAGATGAGAATTCGAAAAAACACATCATGTTTCTACGGAAGAAGATAAATTTTGTTCCTCTATTTGATTATGTTGTCAAACGATGTGACACAGTTGCAGAGTTTGATTTCTACTGGTCTGAGTAAGTTATTTGTATTTTGATGTAACCTCTTACTTATTCCGTGTAACTTGTTCATTGCGTTTGTGTAACATGTGGGTCTTTAGTATGTAACTTTGTGTTAGTTTTTTACTTGGTTTCAGGTTGAACAAAGAGTATGAATATAATGCAGTGACAATAAATGGTTAAAAAGGCTCTATAGTCATAAAGAAAAGTGGTGTCCTGCATTTTCAAAGGATTATTTCTCTGGCGGCGTTCTATCCTCCCAAAGAAGTGAATCTACAAATAGATCCATATCCAGAAGACTCTCAAAAACTGCAACATTGTGTGACTTTTACAAAATGTATGGTGATGTTGTTGATGAGTGGAGGTCAGAGGAAAATGGTCAAGATTTCAGATGTTCAGAAGGCACCGTTGAGATGGTACTGCTGCAAGATAGTATTTTGTCACATGCTAGAGATGTGTACACCCTTGAGATATTCAAACTGTTCCAAGAACAATATTTGAAGGGTATGTCACACTTTTTTAAATTAATGACAGAGAATTCTCATGATTATGTGTATCATGTTTGGTTGAACGGTGTAGATTTGATTAGGCACAACGTTACTTTTAATGGAAATGACAACACAGTGACATGCAGTTGTAAGATGTTTTCAGAAGTTGGCATTTTGTGTAGACACATATTGCGTATATATAACATTCATTGTGTGAAATGTATTCCCCAAGTTTATATACTCCCCAGATGGACAAAGGCTGCTATTTTGCAACATGTTAATCCTCCTTTTACTCAAGGAAGAGATCTTATGTGTGGTAAAATAATTGAAGATTCTGTTTGGAGAGTGCAAATGACTAGAAAATTCAATACCATATTGGGTGCAAGTGCTGGTCTACCTGAAGCTAGGCAAGTATGTGAGGAAGGGTATAAATCTATCAAACAATTTTTAGATATTCAAAACAATGTTTCTGGTGTAGATGAATTGGGTTCTGATCCAAGGAAAATACTTGATCCTCCACGTTCTCGTCCTAAAGGTCAGCGAAATACACGGAAGAGAAGCATCGTTGAAAAACGGTGCAAAATAGTCAAAGGTCGACTTTCTAAATCTCAAAACATTGCAAGTAATTCAAAAGCAGTTGCACAATCTGTTGTTCAGGTATTTTCTTATTTTTATATGTTTTTTTTCTTTAATTCACCTTTACTGAAGCAATTATTTTTCTTCTTGAATTCTAGGACACAGTCAGTTCTATGGTTCCACAAGGTTATCTTGTTCATCCAGTTGGAGGAATGACTTCTTTGATGAGTGTGTTTGGATCTACACAAGTTTTAGATCCATACTTCATGCAATGTAATGCAGTTCACCAAATGCGGAATTAGTTTTAGTGAAATAAGTTTTTCAGAGACATGTTATACATTTGTTTTTGTTTTACTGTAAAAGTTGGAGACATTAAATATTTAATTGTTGCTGGTTACATTTCTAGTTAAATGATTTACATTTGTTTTAATGGCATTTACATTACCTTTACTGTTTGTTAACATTGTGTTATCCTTTGGTTACATTTCTGGTTATGTGAGTTACATTTGTTTTTATGGCATTTACATTACCTTTGCTGTTTGTTAACATTGTGTTATCCTTTGTTTACTATTATGCTTAAACTCAAATTTATTAACACATTAAGAGATTAAGAGAATTTAAATCTGAAGTTAACATCACGTTCTTTTCAAATTACATCTGAATTCAGCAGCAATTACATCTCAAATAAACCGCAGTTACATATCAAATTAAGAACAATTACATCTCAGTAAACAAAAGTTACATAACCAGAAGTTAACATCAATTACATCTAAAAAAACAGAAGTTACATCTCAACTTAATAACAATTACATCTTTCATTAACAACATTTGCATGATTTTTTTTGTTTGAAAAACACAGTCAACATTATTTCGTAAATGATTTTAATGATTAAATAAAAAAAATTAAATTTTATAAATATACTTCAACAATTCCTAAAACCCGTTCTTTGCGATTCAGTTCTATCTGTGAAAATAATTTACATAAGTCATCACGCGAGTTACATAGTTGTTATACACTTTTTGCATAAGATATAATCGAAGTTACATCTTACATAATCACTTGAATAAAGCACTCTAGAGTCTTTATAGTAGTTTTGAGTAACGTACTAAGACACATAATTCACAAACTTTATAACATACATAACATACACAATTTTAATAATCCAAAGTGACATAGATCATACATGAAAGTTGCATAATGTACTACACTAATAACAAACCAGAAATCTTGAAATGTTTTAATAGAACTTCATAATCTATTGGAAATATATATTCTTCCACCTTCCACCAATAATATCAAATAATGTGTTGAGATACCCATAATATTCTGCCACCTTCCACCTGTCACCTTAAAAACGAATGTACTTTTAAAAAACAGACCACTCAAAACAAATAATGTTTTGAGATACCCATAATATTCTGCCACCTTCCACCTGCCACCTTAAAAATGATTGTAATTTACATATTTATGAAGTCTTTTGCTCTTTTATAAACATTTTCCTTTCCATGTTGAATTTTGAGCTTATGATTTCTGCTGCATAGACAAGTCTGAGCTTCTTTAGTGTTTGTTTCTGAGCTTTTATTCCAGCAGCTTTAGATGCACTTGGGAATCCTGAATCCCACTTGTCTCCCTGTCCACGATATGTTTCCAAGTGACGCATTACAAAAATGACACAGTCAACATAATTTCCATTGTACCTCCATGGCATATTCAAAATTCTAGGGTTCCATGTGGCCATTCTTCCAGCTGGATGTTTAATCTTGTTGCAGTACTTTTTAAAACCTTCCACCTATTTTCAGGATATGCATTATCACACTAATACATTTACAAAATAATAAATTTAACAATGCTTGATATTTCTGTAATACATGAACATAAGTTTACCAGTTGGTTAAAGCTCTCCTCATACTGGTCTTTAAACTTCAACCCGTCTTAAAGAATTCTATTGTCTATGACATCAACTACATTCTTGTTTGTATAGAAGCAATAAATATAGTAGTGCTGACTTCTGTGTACAGGAAACAAGACCTGCAATTCATAAAAAGCATTCATTAGTTAATTATTTCTTAGTGAATCATTTCATTTATCTTTTTCAGTAATAATAACATTTTACCATATCATAATCTTTGAGATTTCCTTGTTTATTAACTTCAAATTCCAACCTCTCTACCATCATGTCTTCTTTGTTTGCATATAACACTGCAAATTGTGCCTGTTTATTATCAACCATGGAAATGAATCAGAATAATGAATATTTTTCTATTTATTCAATGAATAAGAAAAATGTTACGTACATAGACCAATGTAGAAAGTATCAGTGCTCGTTTGGGAGGATTGTTTTTGTGTTCTCTGTCATTCAGTAATTTTACCCATGCATCTATTACTGAATTGTCAACTTCTTTTTCATCTTCAAGTGTTTGGAACTCCTCGTGGTTCAAAAACAGGCTTGAGTCATCATTATACAGCAATTCACTAAGACAATAACACTGGTTAGTAAACAATTGATTCAATAGCAGGTTCTTTTCAAAGTACATCTGAATTCAACAGCAATTACATCTCAAATAAATCGCAGTTACATATCAAATTAACAGCATTTACATTTCAATAAACAAAGTTACATATCAGGTTAACATCAATTACATCTCAAATAACAGAAGTTACATCTCAACTTAATAACAATTACATCTTTCATTAACAACATTTGCATGTTTTTTTTTTGAAAAACACAGTGAACATTATTTCGTAAATGATTTCTATGATTAAATAAAAAAGTTAAATTTTATAAATACAATTCAACAATTTCTAAAGCTTGTTCTATCTTTGAAAACAATTTACATAAGTCATCACACGAGTTACATAGTTGTTATACACTTTTTGCATAAAGTATAACCGAAGTTACATCTTGCATAATCACCTGAATAATGATATATATAATAAAGAACATCTTACTTTACAACTTCCTTTGAAAATGCATAGTCAATCACCATTTTTTCTTCCTTCCTCATCTCCTTGCACAGCCTGTGGTTGTGTTTGAGATATGGTGACCTGAATTTCCATTCTGTATCAGCTGCCTTAGATGTATTTTTCAGCTTCTGCCTTTTTTTCCACAGGTGCTGTCATCTTCACTTCTTCTTCTACATTTTCTTGCTCTTCAGTTACAACATCCTCTTGATTTCTATATTCTGCTTCCCTCACTCCTCCTTCAAGTATCTCAACCATTTCATCTTTGTTGTTTTCTTCTTCTATGTTTCTAGCAATCTTCATTATTGGGTCTTCAGTCATTTGAGCATCTGGATTCTCATTTGTTGAATTTTTTTCATTTTGAGAAGGTTGTGTCATGCTGAACTCAATGCCCAGATCAAATGAAGGCATTGAGAACTTCAGATAAGCAGCTTTTTCTAATCTATCTAGGGCTTCCATTACTCCTGGTATATTGAAAAAATCATCGTTCTCATCAAGAGTGCACTTTTCTGCCAACCTCTCTTTTTCTGATTCCTTGGCACTGCCATTAGCTTGTCTGAAGAAGTAATCAGCTGTTGTCAAGTATATATTTTTCAAGATATCGGAATTGGGAAATCTTTTAGAAATTGTTGTTGGAAGTTTTGAGAATTCCACAAAAGCATCGCTGAACTTCTGTGCAACAGCAATTATTTCTTTGACACAGTCCTACAAAAATTAAATTTCATTTGTAAGTTTCATATACCATTAGATATGAAATATAAGCAATGTAACTTATGATCAATTGTATGCAACTTTAGTTCAAGTATATGTAAGTAATGATCAACAGTATGTAGCTTCCATAGTGTGTAACTCCAGTGACATAAGTGAAGCAATTAACCTAGATATAGTGTTTATTTAAAATTTACCTCTTTAGAAATCATCTCTCCATAGAAGTACTAGTGACAATCAGGCTATATGAAGAATAACTAATGTTTCAGACACGAGACCCAAAAATAGGGTGATACATATATATATATGACTCATTCATCCGATGATACATACTATATATATATGTAAAATACTCGACACGTAGGTCATTTCATTCAAAGAGTCTTTTAGAGATAAAGTTCTTACCTGACCTTTCTCACCCTTTTCCCGAATGCCTAGCTCACCAGCTACATTCTACATTTATAATATCCTACCGAGTTTTGGGAGCATTTAGCATCCCGGGGATACTCAACCCTAACCGAGTTTCAGGATCATTAAATATTCCGGGGATGCTCAACCCCAACCGAGTTTCAGGATCATTTGCAGTCTCGGGGATGCTCAACCCCAACCGAGTTTCAGGATCATGTATGGTCCCGGGGATGCTCAACCCCAACCGAGTTTCAGAATCATTTAATGTCCCGGGGATGCTCAACCCCAATCGAGTTTCAGGATCATCTAATGTCCCGGAGATACTCAACCCCAAACTAAATCCTTACCAAACCCTAACCTGGATATGGCTAACCTTTCGTTCCTTCAACTATGGACAATACCTAGCCCTATAGTCATATAACCATCCTTAGGAACCAACGTGGGCGGGTCCCACCTGAACGGCCCACATTAACCCACTCAAAACTGCCCGTTTTGAGCATAAACCAATACTCGATCGAGTATCTACCCATACTCGGTCGAGTACAGGAGGCGGTAGCCCCCAAAGCTAATTTTCAATGTATACTCGATCGAGTATCTACCTATACTCGATCGGGTATAGGAGACAGTAGCCCCCTGGGCAATTCTTCAGCAAATACCCGGTCGGGTATGTGTCAATACCCGGTCGGGTAAGGCAGTTGACTTGGCGGTCAACGCCCCTTTTGACCACCCAAACGGAGTCCGATTAACTTGAAATTTTATACACATATACTTCTTGATTTCCTCGATCCAAAAATACCATTTTGGAACCCTGGATCATCACACAAAATATTTTATCACATTTTGAATCACCAAACCTACATAACATGCTTTTCAACTATGTTTTATGCAAAATCATGGCATAAGCAAATACTTGATTATCTTTAATCATTCCACAAAACATATCCTTGATTACTTTAGGTAATCTCATGCCTAACGCAAAAGTTATAAAGCATAAAGCCGTCTTCTCACCTTAATGAAGCTTATGAAGTTCTAGCCTTCCCGATTTAGCTCCGGCGAAACTCCGGCGAACTTTAACGAACTCCGACGACCACTCTGGCGACCTTTTCAACTCCGTGAAAGTTCCTTGAATACCTTAGACAAGGTACTAACAAGGTTTTATCATCATAAAACCCATAGTAATAAAAATAACCTCCAAAAGGTTATTTTCCGGCGAACCGGTTACTTTGGCTTCTAAGTCCATTCTTGGACTTAGAACCACCTTCCAACCTCTCTTTCTACACATCCCAACGTGTAGAACAATACTAGGGGGTGAAATATGATTGAATAATCATATAAGAGGATTGAAGAACAAGAAATAGGATTAATGGATTCATTACCTTGTTAAACACAAGTTTTCCCACCTAAACTCCTCTTTTCTCTTCTCTTTTCCCTTTCTTCTTCCTCCCTTAACTTGGTGCGTGTATGATGGATGAAAATGGTTTATTTGCAGAGCTCCTCTCACTTGGTTGATGCCTGATACGAAATGGGGTGAGTTGGTATGATTGAGAATGCCTTCTTGGCATTTCTCACAATCATGGCATGTGGGAGGCCCTACTCCATTTAATGTCTTTCCCCTCAACCCCTTCCCTTTCTCTCCCCCTTCTCTTTGTGCGGATCCCCTTGAAATATGCAGCACCAAATTCGTGGGGTGGCCCCCACTCATGTGGGAGGTCATCCCTTTATGTCCCCAAGTGTAGAATCGGTCCCGAAAGTTGTATTTTCCGGACTGTTTTAATTATATTTTATTTTACCGGGTCAAATAAAATATAACACTTGTTCCCCATTCTTATTGGACCTTAGAATCAATATGATTCCCCAACTTTAATTTAGAAATCCCTGGAATCCCTTTTTGGGCTGTTATCTGATAAATTTGCCGATACCGATAATTTGGCCCTGTTTGACCAACCGGTCAACCCTGTGCCATTGCTATGGCCCAATTAGGATATCCACCACCATATACATATTATTTAGTCCAAGATTAATATAATATGTGGTGCCGACAATATCGGGCGGCCCCACACCCGGTGTGGGCCCCACGTGAATTTTACTATTCACATAATAGAAATGACAAAAATTTACAATCACATAAAAATACCTTTATACATTTCTCAAGGTTCAATACATAATTTGGTACAGTACAAATACTCGGGGGCGGTGTTACAAGTTCTACCCCCCTTATTTGGGATTTCGTCCCCGAAATCCGCGCGCGTCTAGTCAAACAGAAATGGATATTGTTCCCTCATCAGGGTCTCCACCTCCCAAGTTTGCTCCTCGACACGATCACTCTTCCAAAGCACTTTTACCATCGGCACCTCTTTGCTCCTTAGCTTCTTTACCTGTCGGTCTATGATTTTCACCGGCTGCACCGTATAGTGTAGGTCTTCTCGGATTTCCACCGGTGGTTTCTCAAGAATATGTGACGGGTCCCACACATACTTCTTGAGCATAGAAACATGAAATACATTATGAATCTTTTCTAACTCTGGAGTCAACTGAAGTCGGTAAGCTACAACCCCAATCCTTTCAAGGATTTTGAACGGACCTATGTAACGTGGGTTAAGCTTACCCCGACTGAGGAACCTGATGATCCCTTTCCAAGGTGATACCCTCAGAAATACCTCGTCACCAACCTCAAATTCCAACGTCCTCCGACGTTTATCAGCATAGCTCTTCTGCCGGTCTTGGGCAGCCTTGAGCCTATCCTGTATGACTTTTATCTTTTCCTTAGTGATCTCAACTAACTCGGTGCCCTCGAGCTTAGCCTCGCCGACCTCGTCCCAACACAATGGTGTCCGGCATTTCCTCCCATACAATGCTTCGTATGGAGGCATGCCTATACTTGCCTGATAACTGTTGTTATAGGCGAATTCCACTAAAGCCAACTGATTGTCCCAGCTGCCCTGGAACTCCAAGGCACATGCCCTTAACATGTCCTCCAAGATCTGAATCACCCGTTCAGATTGCCCATCCGTTTGAGGATGAAACGCAGTGCTAAACCTCAATTTCGTACCCATGGATTCCTAGAACTTAGGCCAAAACCGTGATGTGAACCGTGGGTCTCTATCCGATACTATAGTAACCGGAACCCCATGCAGTCTCGATCACAATCTCATCTGTGTACAATTTGGCCAACCACTCGAGCGTATAGGTAGTGTTGATAGGTAGGAAATGAGCGCTCTTGGTCAGTCTATCGACTACCACCCATACCGCGTCGTAGTTCCTAACCGTCCGTGGTAGACCCACCACGAAGTCCATGGTAACATGCTCCCACTTCCATTCTGGAATGGTAAGTGGTTGTAGTAACCCTGCTGGGTGTTGGTGCTCTGCCTTAACCTGTTGACAAGTAAGGCAACGGCTCACGTATTCTGCAATTTCTCTCTTCATCCCCGACCACCAGTAACTTTCCTTCAAGTCCCGGTACATCTTTGTACCACCCAGGTGCATGGCATACGCAGATGAGTGAGCCTCCTCAAGGATAGACTTTCGGAGCTCCTCATCCGATGGCACACACACTCGTTCCTTGAATAGTAGAAGTCCATCTTCTCTCTCCCGGAAACCCTCGACGGGCCCCACAAGCATCCGTTCCCGGATTTTCTGACATTCCTCGTCATTGCCTTGACATGTTCTGATTTCATCTAACAAGGTGGGTCTCGCCTCAAATCTGGCCAATAGCGCCCCATCCGTGGATATCTCCATGTGTGCCCTCAATGCCCGTAAGCATGTGAGTAAAACCCCTGATGATGAGCTCTTCCTGCTCAGTGCATCAGCTACAACATTAGCCTTGCCTGGATGATAGTCAATGATCAAGTTGTAATCCTTAATCGACTCCTTCCATCTCCTCTGTCTCATGTTCAACTCTTTCTGAGTGAACACATACTTCAAGCTCTTATGGTCGGTGTAAATGTGACACAACTCCCCGTAGAGGTAGTGCCTCCAAATCTTCAATGCAAATACCACAGCACCTAGCTCGAGATCATGTGTGGGGTAGTTTACTTCATGCTTCCTCAACTGCCGAGAAGCATAAGCAATTACCTTCCCTGATTGCATCAGTACACATCCCAGTCCCTGAATGCTAGCATCACTGTAGATGTCATACCCTAACCCTTGCACGGGCAAGGCAAGCACTGGTGCTTCGGTCAAACGTTTCTTTAGCTCAAGAAACCCCTTCTCACACTTGTCATCCCACACAAACTTAGCCCCCTTTTTAGTGAGCTTCGTGAGTGGGGATGCTATCACCGAGAACTTTTCCATGAATTTCCGGTAATACCCCGCTAAACCGAGGAAACTCCTTATCTCCTTCACGTTCTTGGGCCTATCCCAATTAGTGACCGCCTCAATCTTTGAGTTATCAACTGAAATGCCCGAGCCCGATACCACATGCCCGAGAAAACCGATCTCCCCAAGCCAAAATTCACATTTAGAGAATTTGGCAAAGAGTTGCTTCTCCCGCAGTGTTTCAAGCACAAGCCTTAGATGTTTTTCGTGTTCCTCTTCATTCATGGAGTATATCAAAATGTCATCAATGAACACTATGACGAACTGGTCTAAGTATTGGTGAAATACTCGGTTCATGAGGTCCATGAATGCCGCGGGAGCGTTCGTAAGCCCAAACGACATTACTAGAAACTCATAGTGACCATACCTTGTACGGAATGCACTTTTGGGTATGTCACTCTCCTTGATCTTCAGTTGATGGTAGCCTGACCTCAAGTCAATCTTAGAGAACACCGTTGCCCCCCGTAGTTGATCAAACAAGTCATCGATCCTTGGCAAAGGATATTTGTTCTTTATCGTGACCTTGTTCAACTGACGGTAGTCGATACACATTCTGAGTGTACCATCCTTCTTCTTTACAAATAGTACCGGTGCTCCCCATGGTGAATGACTCGGCCTGATGAATCCGCTGTCCAGCAATTCTTCCAATTGCACCTTCAACTCTTGAAGTTCAGCCGGTGCCATCCGATATGGAGGAATCGAGATGGGTTTTGTACCGGGTTCTACTTCAATGGTGAACTCAATTTCTCGATCTGGTGGGAGTCCCAGGAGTTCTTCAGGGAAAACTTCTGGGTACTCACTCACCACTCTCACCTCAGTGAGACTCTTTTCCTTGCCCTCCTTGCCTATGACATAGGTCAAGTATGCTTGACACCCTTTCCTCATCATACGCCTTGCTCTTATGGCCGATATGATACAAGGGTTGAATTTCCCTCTATCTCCCTCGAAGCATAGAGTGTTTCCTTCTCCATCCTTTAGTTCTAACACCTTGGTGTAGCAATCTACCTTCGCATGGTGTTTTTCGAGCAAATCCATGCCAAGTATAGCATCAAACTCGAGCATATCTAACGGTACAAAGTCACCCGTCAGACAGTGCCCCCTATCCCTACATTACACGAGGGATAGTAGTGTTTCCGCTCTACATCATCTCCCAATGGCGTAGAGACCAGCAAAGGTTGCATCATTGCTACCAAAGGCATGTTCAATCCCTTGGCAAACGCCTTGCTCACAAATGAACGTTGTGCCCCGGTATCGATGAGAATTCTCGCATCCCTATCGTTGATCTTTAGTGTTCCTACATATATAAGTCATGTAATGCACCCTATTCGACATCCCGACAGAAAAGGACCGGATGAAAAATTTCAGCCTAGAATTACTCTATACCCGGTCGGGTAGGGTCTTCTACCCGGTCGGGTATCACTCGAGTTCTTAAGGAGAAACCCCCCTGTTTTCCTTGCTCGGTCGAGTACCAGCCTCGAATTCGGGCAAAATGTCAATACCCGGTCGGGTGTATACCTATACCCGGTCGGGTATCACTCAAAATCCTCAAATAAAAGCTCCTTGTCTTCTACGCTCGATCGAGTACACACTTCGAAGCTCAAAATCTACACATACCCGATCGAGTATATAGCCATACCCGATCGGGTATTGCTCGAAATGTCAAAAATAAAGCATCCTGCCTTGGCTGCCCGAACGGGTGCATACTTCAAACTCGAAGCGTGGCTTATACCTGGTCGGGTCTATAGGGGCACCCGATCGGGTCCTTCATATTTTTGAAGATTTTTCAACCAATTACATAATCGAATACGTGTGAAATCAAGAGATTACCTGCAATGGAGTCCGGGTTGTCCCGAGCATCAGCCTCGGTCATTGCATACACCCGTGCTTGGGTCCTCCCTTGGTTAACGGACGCGGCGTTGCTAGCCGTGGGTCCGCTCCTTCCCGTGCCGGCCTGAGACGGCCCCGCACGTCCCCTACTAGTCGTAGGTCCTCCCATGGCTCCCGATGGTCCTCCCCCGTTCAACATTGGACAAGAGGATTTGAGGTGGCTCGTGCTACCGCATTTGAAGCACCGGGGTGGTTCATTGCACCTTCCCCCGTGGTTCTTACCGCAGTTTGCGCACCTGGGTGGTCCCACACCCCCCGGTTTGGGCCCTTGCCCTCCTGAACCTTTGTTCCTTTTCGTCGGTGGTGCCGGCGCCCTGAATGAATTGCCACCCCCAGCGTGATGCTTCCGGGAGTGGTCTTGGGGTCCTGAGTTTCCCCATCTTCTCTTCTTCGCCTCCTCGGCGTCCCTCAACTTCCTCTCGTTCCATTGGGCTTCCCCAAGGAGCCCCTGATCGACAATCTGGCTAAATGTCATGGTGTGATGGTAAGTAGCCCGGTCACGGATGTCCAACTGTAGAGCATCCCAAAAATGATTGGCCATACGATTTTCATCCAAGGAGTATTCTGGGATGAATTGGGCCAAGTCACGGAACCTTTGTTCCAATTGCCTCACCGAGCAACCATCCTCCTGTTTCAGGTTTGTGTACTCTCTCCTTTTGAGATTGACTTCAAAAGTTGAGTAGTACTGATTATAAAACTCCACTTCGAAATTCTCCCAAGTGGCCTCATCGTGGAACTTTCCTTCCACGCCTTCCCACCATACCGCAGCTACCCCTTCTAGTAGCCTGGTGGCAACCCTCAACTTCACGTCGAGTCCAATTTGCATATCCCTAGAAGCATCATTCAGCTTCTTAATCCAGTCGGCGGCCTCAGATATGTCGCCCTTGCCATCAAATGATTTGCACCCCAAGGCCCTGGCCTCCTTGAGATACTTGGAGATACGCACCATCGTGTCTCCCCCAAATGCTCCAGATGGAGCACTAGAAGCACCTCGGCTTCCCTGCCCCATGGTTTGCCTAGCCTGTCTAGCTTGGCGCCGCTGCTCTCTCTTTGCTTTATTCTCAAGGTACCATTCTAGTACCTCACTCATGCGGTCATAATGAGGATCATCATCCTCATCTTCTTCCTCAAAGTCCTCCCAGTTGTACGGGGTCTCCTCTTGCTCCGTGCTTGGAGCATAGGTGAAGTCGTCCGGTTCGGTGGCCCATGACGGGTGCACGGAACCGACACGTGTGCTACTTGTCGTCGGCGTGGTAGAACGCCCATGACCCCTGCCTCGGCCTCCTCCTCGGCCTTGGCCCCGGCCTCTACCCCTAGAGGTCCGTGATTCAGTCCGTGTATCGTGCTCGGTGGCCCCCGGTGCACGACCCATCGGGTTCCTCCTGGTAATCCTGCGTCCACCCTCCATTTCTGAAAGGAATAAGGAATGAGTCATTAGACTCGTTTCAATGTCAATTGACGGATTAGTACAAAAGACACCCCTTGGTCCAACATTATGGCCAACAAACTGTTAAGGGTACCGTCTTAACAATAAGAGGTCAATAACTTGGTTTCCAACGGTTCCTTAAGTACAAAAACTGTTGCTCATGGTTTTATTCAAAACTTTTTTTGAGGATAACCATATTGAGAGGTTAATTATATAGTTTAGAAATCGATGGCTCTGATACCACTTAATTGTCACGCCCCGGACCGCATCCGAGCCACGTAGACTACCGCCGTACATCCCGATAAGAACAACAGTTCATCCCTATTGGATTGTACAAGGTGTCCGATTGATTCTATTGCCAAACTGATTAGTAAACACATACAATCAACATCAATATCATAATCAAACAAATGCGGAAAAAAATAAAATGTTTGATACTTAGCCACACGTGGCAAACACGGGCACGCAGGCCCCCAACTGTTTTAATGAAAGTATTGTTCAAAAATCCATGAGCAGTTTATACATTTGAAATATGAATGGAAGCACGAACAACGTCTTCCTTCTCGATCGATCACCCTAGGCAAAGGTGCAGGTAGTAGGACCCTAGCCTCAACCTGAAAAATGTGAGGGCCCCCGGAGGGGTCGGTACTCCATAGAAGTACTAGTGACAAGCAGGCTATATGAAGAATAACTAATGTTTCAGACACGAGACCCAAAAATAGGGTGATATATATATATATACATATATATATATATATATATATATATATATGACTCATTCATCCGATGATACATACTATATATATATATATATATATATGTAAAATACTCGACCCGTAGGTCATTTCATTCAAAGAGTCTTTTAGAGATAAAGTTCTTACCTGACCTTTCTCACCCTTTTCCCGAATGCCTAGCTCACCAGCTACATTCTACATTTATAATATCCTACCGAGTTTTGGGAGCATTTAGCATCCCGGGGATACTCAACCCTAACCGAGTTTCAGGATCATTAAATGTTCCGGGGATGCTCAACCCCAACCGAGTTTCAGGATCATTTGCAGTCCCGGGGATGCTCAACCCCAACCGAGTTTCAGGATCATGTATGGTCCTGGGGATGCTCAACCCCAACCGAGTTTCAGAATCATTTAATGTCCCGGGGATGCTCAACCCCAACCGAGTTTCAGGATCATCTAATGTCCCGGGGATACTCAACCCCAAACTAAATCCTTACCAAACCCTAACCTGGATATGGCTAACCTTTCGTTCCTTCAACTATGGACAATACATAGCCCTATAGTCATATAACCATCCTTAGGAACCAACGTGGGCGGGTCCCACCTGAATGGCCCACATTAACCCACTCAAAACTGCCCGTTTTGAGCATAAACAAATACTCGATCGAGTATCTACCCATACTCGGTCGAGTACAGGAGGCGGTAGCCCCCAAAGCTAATTTTCAATGTATACTCGATCGAGTATCTACCTATACTCGATCGGGTATAGGAGACAGTAGCCCCCTGGGCAATTCTTCAGCAAATACCCGGTCGGGTATGTGTCAATACCCGGTCGGGTAAGGCAGTTGACTTGGAGGTCAACGCCCCTTTTGACCACCCAAACAGAGTCCGATTAACTTGAAATTTTATACACATATACTTCTTGATGTCCTTGATCCAAAAATACCATTTTGGACCCCTGGATCATCACACAAAATATTTTATCACATTTTTAATCACCAAACCTACATAACATGCTTTTCAACTATGTTTTATGCAAAATCATGGCATAAGTAAATACTTGATTATCTTTAATCATTCCACAAAACATATCCTTGATTAGTTTAGGTAATCTCATGCATATTGCAAAAGTTATAAAGCATAAAGCCGTCTTCTAACCTTAATGGAGCTTATGAAGTTCTAGCCTTCCCGATTTAGCTCCGGCGAAACTCCGACGAACTTCAACGAACTCCGACGACCACTCCGGCGACCTTTTCAACTCCGTGAAAGTTCCTTGAATACCTTAGACAAGTTACTAACAAAGTTTTATCATCATAAAACCCATAGTAATACAAATAACCTCCAAAAGATTATTTTCCGGCGAACCGGTTACTTTGGCTTCTAAGTCCGTTCTTGGACTTAGAACCACCTTCCAACCCCTCTTTCTACACATCCCAACGTGTAGAACAATACTAGGGGGTGAAATATGATTGAATAATCATATAAGAGGATTTAAGAACAAGAAATAGGATTAATGGATTCATTACCTTGTTAAACACAAGTTTTCCCACCTAAACTCCTCTTTTCTCTTCTCTTTTCCCTTTCTTCTTCCTCCCTTAACTTGGTGCGTGTATGATGGATGAAAATGGTTTATTTGCAGAGCTCCTCTCACTTGGTTGATGCCTGATACGAAATGGGGTGAGTTGGTATGATTGAGAATGCCTTCTTGACATATCTCACAATCATGGCATGTGGGAGGCCCTACTCCATTTAATGCCTTTCCCCTCAACCCCTTCCCTTTCTTTCCCCCTTCTCTTTGTGCGGCTCCCCTTGACATATGCAGCACCAAATTCGTGGGGTGGCCCCCACTCATGTGGGAGGTCATTCCTTTATTTCCCCAAGTGTAGAATCGGCCCCGAAAGTTGTATTTTCCGGACTGTTTTAATTATATTTTATTTTACCGGGTCAAATAAAATATAACACTTGTTCTCCATCCTTATTGGACCTTAGAATCAATATGATTCCCCAACTTTAATTTAGAAATCCCCGGAATCCCTTTTTGGGTTGTTATCTAATAAATTTGCCGATACCGATAATTTGGCCATGTTTGACCAACCGGTCAACCCTGTGCCATTGCTATGGCCCAATTAGGATATCCACCACCATATACATATTATTTAGTCCAAGATTAATATAATATGTGGTCTCGACAATATCGGGCGGCCCCACACCCGGTGTGGGCCCCACATGAATTTTACTATTCACATTATAGAAATGACAAAAATTTACAATCACGTAAAAATACCTTTATACATTTCTCAAGGTTCAATACATAATTTGGTACAGTACAAATACTCGGGGGCGGTGTTACAAGTATAGTAGCAGTCATTGGATAAATACAATTGTAAAATTCATTTTTATAAGGGAAAACTATCAAATAAGCCCTCGTACTATACCGAAAAAATCGATTAGGCCCTCGTACTTTACAAACACTCAATTAAGTCCTCGAACTATTAAAAAACGTTCAATTAAGCCCTTTCGGTCGGTAAGTAACCGGTTTCCCGGTTAAATGTAACTTGTTTCCTGAAAGCCGTTGTTGTTGGAGTTCGAGCACATCGTCGCCATCGTCGTTGTTTAACCGGGAAATCGGTTACTTACCCACCAAAAGGGCTTAATTGAACGTTTTTTAATAGTTCGAGGACTTAATTGAGTGTTTGTAAAGTACGAGGGCCTATTTGATAGTTTTCCCTTTTTATAATGACCAATTTTGATAAGTTACATAATATTATACACTTGTTTCATAAGTTATATCCCAAAGTTACATGTAACTAAGAATTGACATAAGTTACATATTAATATACTTATGTTACATAAATTCTATCTATACTTACATAAGTTACACAAGTTGTTCAATAATCAAATATGGCTCCAATACTTGCAGATAAATAGCAAGTGACATTTTATCATACAGAAGTTACATAATAACTCAATGAAGTTACACCATACACAAGCACTTCGAAAAATGTTCTCTGGACAACATTTTCTATCAAATAATACCTTATAGATTGTATATACTTGTTAACTTAAGTAAACATCCGGGATTTTGACCTTTTAAATACAGTCAGATGCGGATTATGAACCAAAAATTACTTTGCTTGTATTTACTTGTAAACAACACATTTCAGGGCATAATACACATGTTTTCATAACAAAAAAACAATCGCATTGAGTAATATTTGAGTCTATGTTATAGCTTATACCTGACAACCGGTTTTTCCTTAACCCTAACCATTTTGGTTGTAATTGGTGCTGAACTTGATCTTCAAGTTGCTCCGGTGAAAGCCTTTACTTAATCTCTTGTCTTCTTTGCAGAGATTTGTTTCAAAAAAAACACTTCGTCGAACTTGCTTGATTCAGAAGAAATGTAGAGCGAGACTTTTTCTGAAAGTAGACTTTTGGATTTCGAACTTCGAAACGGCGTAAATGTAAAACATCGGGAGTTGAGAGTATAACCGCTGGAGGGAAAAGGTGGGAGGAAGGATCCGTTGGTTTGTGTGCGCGTTTTTTTTAATTTAATGCTACGTCGTTTTGCCGCGGGAGTAGGATGCTCAATATGGGCTGCTCTCACGATATACGAATTGGTAAAAAGCCCTTAAAAAGACGTGAATAGAATAGTCAAAATTACTACGTAGCAGACAAATAAATTACGATCTAAATGAAAAGCAATCTTAATCATTAATAGTGGTTTTTTTTTAAAATTAATACTACACTCTTCCCATTAAGATTGATATATGAGGAAATGATATTGTTATTAAGATAAAAGTCTATCTAATTAATGAGTAAGAATAAATTAAGGACGTCATAAAATCACCCAAAGATTAATTTATCAAATTTGATACCGCTTAATTGGGTATTGAAATATTTACTACACTTTCCTTTTGAGAATTTATTTTAATTTTCGCTACTCTTTTGATAAGTGTTTCCTTTAAAAGTATTCATTTATTTTCAATTTTTCAATTTTTTTTTTCATATTTCTCCACATTTCTCATACTCTTTCAATATTATTCGGTAGCCTACTACTTTTCCCTTGAACACAGTGGGCCGGACTGGACCGGTATAAAGAATATTTTTAGAAAAAATTTTACACAAATTTTTTACCTTAAAAATTAAGTCATTTTTAAAATTTGGGATGGACCATGGCCTAGGTTGGCCCACCCCTAGCTCCTCCCATGCCCGTATCATAGAACTTAAAATTGCAAGGAGTACATAGAGATTATAAAGAAGGAAGGCGTGACAATCTTAAGGATACCTAAGGAGCCCTATTTTAATTTTAAAGTATACAAATACTCCGTATCATAGAACTTAAAATTGCATGAAAAATTATTATTGCAATAAATGAATGTGAGAGTAGAGGGAATATATATAGAGTATATCCAAATAGTGTAAAAGAAATTAGAGTAATTATTTGGTGGGGTTTGGAATTTAGTGAAAAGGACAGAAATAGAGATCACCGGGGTTTGCGGCTTTATACATCCAATGATGTTGCGTTTGCATGGGGATGGTCGTACCATGTCCCTTTCGCATTCTGTTTTTGTTCTTTCAGGTGGGCGTCAGTCGCTTACCACATAACTTTGCACCCATGGAAAGTTGAAAAAAATTCATGGTAGGTTTGGTTCGAGAAATGTCAGATTATCATGAGAATGTCAGATTATTGGATGTGTTATATTGATGGGAATGTATTCAATCGATTCTCATTTGTGTTTGGTTAACATCAAGGGAATGCGTCATAATTTATTTGGTTGAAAGATATCTTATATTGCAGATATGATGAATTACTTTTATGCCCTTTAAATCTATAACTCTTATAACATAAATAACTTAAAAAAATTAAAAGTTAAGGCAAAAAAATATGCAAATAATAAGAATAGACATTTGAATATAATTAATACTCTGTCCGTCCCACCTAAAAGGTTGTTATACAATTTACAATGTTCGATTGACCATGAAACTAACCGATTTCTGCCAATAATAAGATTTATTTTAGTAAATAAAATTTACATATTTGGACACTACATTAAAAGTTTTATAAAGTCACAAAAAATTAAGTTTGATAACAGTTCAATATATTAAGAAATTAAATGAAAAGAGATAATTGATTGAAAGTATTTTCGGAAGAAAATTGGACTATAATCCCAATCTGACAGATAGAGAGTGGGGCTCTGTCCCCGGTACTTACAGAGGCCCTATGCATTTTTAGCATAGTAACCCCTCATCGCAGTTGCCGGGATTCGAACCCGGGACTTAACCCTTGTGGCACTCCCTTGCTACCAGTTGAGCTACGCCCACCGGTAGGATTTGGAGTTTAGTATTTGCCTCAACTAAAAGATGAGAGAAAATCCAAAAGAGGATTATCTATGTTTTTATTCTCAAATAGGACGGTTTTACTCATATTTAAAACATAAGGAATTTCTCATTCCATTATTGTCCCTGCTTTGTTAGCTGATGGATCCACGCCTCATAAAACAGATCGATCGATTGCTTCTCTCCATTGCACCGCAAACCAGATTGACCGGTTGCTTCTCTCCCTTGCGCTATCATCTCTTCTCTTCTTCTTAGTTTTCAACAGATCGATCGGTTTCTTTTGCCTGCGTATCAAATCGACTTCATCAACGACTTCATCCCTAGCCGCCGAGTTGCCGACGACTCCACCGCAAGCACGCCGCAGTTTGACCAGGTTTCTTCTTCTTCTTCTTCCTCCTCCTCCTTCTCTTCCTCCTCCAATTATTCGAATTTTTTCTTTGAAATTACATTTTCTAATTTTTTCTTTCCTTCCTCTATTTTTTTTAGTTTTGACATTCGATTTTGTTGATTTTTGGACTTCTATTTCAAATTTCCGTTTCCTGATTTTTTAATATTTTGAAACATTCCTCTTTCCAGATTTTTGGATGATAGCATACGATTTTGCCATGTTTATGGTAGTTTTTTGGATGATGGTATACGATTTTGCCAAGTTTATGGCAGAAATGTAATCTAACAATCATATTATGGCAAAACACTTTTTGTGAAAACCAGTTTTTATTTTTATTTTTTGTCATTCACTACTTATTTGTTATTGAGATGAATTTCTTAAAATTATTGTTCTGTTAAAATTTTGTTTTTCAGAAATTTAGTTGTGGACTTCATATTTTGCCAAGATTATGGCAGTTTTGTGTAAATCGGTCAATATAAATCTGCCATCATTATGGCAGATCTGAAAATTTGTTTTAAAGACAGGTTTGAAGGTAATCTTCAAGGTCAAATCTTCCAATTTAATGGCATATTTTTGGCGGTGGGGTGTGACGGCAGTGACAGTGCTCGAAGATGAAGTGGTGGCCCCGGATTCAACACAGGCGGCAACGACGATGATAGGATGGCGGCGGCAGAGGTGGATGGTGACGACGGTTGGGCAGCGATAAATGGCGATGATGCACAGGCAGAGATGCAACAGCGCCGGCGAGGGCGGCGGTAGGCGGCGCCGGAGAGGGCGGCGGTAGGCGGCGCCGGCATGGACATGGGCTGGCGGTGCCGGCGAGTGCGGCGGTAGTCAGTGTCAGTGAGGGCAGCAGGGGCGGCTCCGGCTTCGACGGCGGTAGTGCTACTGCCGACAGTTGACTGCTTGCGGTTTCAACTGTTTTTCTAATTTGCTTTTTTAATATTAAAAAAGTTAAGCAGGGTTATTTTTGTCCATCTATGTGGAATTTAGTCCCATGAAACTCCACTTCTGTAAGCA